TGGATGGTGAAAAAATTTGGCTCTGAGTACCAATTGTTAGCAACAGGCTAGGATATCTCTCTATTGATGAACATCACTCAGATCTGTAGCTCTAGTTTGAAATTACAAGTAGGGAGAAAGGAGGAAGAGAGTTACAAGCAAATGGGGGACTGCCGTGTCAAACTGGCCGCCCTCACAAGGAAGCTGTCCTCCTTATTTATCCTACCTCGTGGTCCATTCCTTGCCAGCGTAGCGCGTGGATGGGCGCCTGACCCTCCTGTAGGCCCCGACGTCAGTGGCTTGTTGACTGGGTCTTGGCTGCCCTGGCCGTCATCCTCTGTAACCGGCTCGGTGATGCTAACAGACTGCTCTGACAACCTACACAGAATTACAACGAGGTTTAGCATGCCGCAGCGCTCTGTCTCCCGAAGTCGCGAGTGGCCAAACCCATCCATATAAAGCATCCGAGCCGGAGCTGTGAGCATCTACCTAGCGCTAGTGTAGATTTTCCTTGCGCCACACAGCTGACAGCTCCCACGGAGGCTGGGCACACGGGAATAGGGAGGAGGTGCGCACGACCGCCGGCACCGACCATGCCGGAGCCTGCCCCGGTGATCAGGCGGATCCGCAAGGAGCTGAAACAGCTCTGGATGGACCCGGCGGCGTTCTGCCGGCCCGGCGCGACGCCCGTGACGGACCTGTTTCACTGGGAGGTGATCATCGACGGCCCCCACGACAGCCCCTACGCCGGCGGCACGTTCCCCGTCGACGTCGCCTACCCCAAGGACTACCCCTTCAAGCCCATCAAGCTCACCTTCAAAACCAAGGTGAGTCGGCACTGGCCTCTAGCTGCATGCTTCCTCCAAACAAGATCGCTCGGTCGATCGGCATTTGTTTGACTGCTCGTGTTCATGCCAAACGATATCCTGACGTACGCGTCTCTGCACTGCGGGTGTACCATCCCAACATCGGCCCGGAGGGGAAGATGGCGCTGGACATCTTCGGGAGGGGGTGGTGGCCTAATCTCACGATAAGGACAGTCCTCCTGTCCGTCGTCTCCGTCCTCTACGACCCCCTGCTCGACCTCCCCGTCCGCCACGACGCCGCCCGGCTGTACAAGCGCGAGCGGGGTCTCTATGATGAGAAGGCCAGGCGCTGGACCCGCAGGTACGCCTCGGCGCCGGTCGTCTCCTTCTATCCGGCGGGGATGGAGCTGTTCGAGGAGCTGCTGGATGAGGCGGCGATTAGTGGGGCAGTGGCACGCCGTCGTTCTTGCGGAGCAGGGAAATGGCGTTTCTTCGGGGGCCGCCTCCTCGGCGCCATCTAGTACGTGCATGTGTTCAGTCATGCTCATGCATGCACCGCGATGATGCTGGATAAGACTACTGAGCACAAGTTAAGTTCACCGGAAGAATGCTTGGGCGATGTCCATTGAGTATCTAGTAGTAATTCGTAATTTGTATGGAGTGGGTTGTCTCAATTACTAGTCATGTTTGGTGATCTATAATATGATCCTTATTTTATGGACGCCGATAAGTGCCACACGTATGGGCGTTAGGGAGTCCGCCCACACATTTTGTGTGGTGTATAAGAGGAACAGCCCGCACATTTACGTGTGGGCAAAATAATTAGCGCCCACACGCCTTTTTTTTCCCTCCCGATCCCTTTCACACGCGTGCGTGTGGGCGAAGTTGATAACGCCCACACGCATGTATGTCAGGCCTCGTACCTCCTGGTCCCGCACGCCACGCGTGACGGTCACTGTGCGCCCGCAGTTGCCATGGTCCAGACCCTCGTCCATGTTCGTTTAATTGCAGTTGCCATATCGCTGAACTACGGTTGCCATGTCGGATAGCTGCAGTTGCAATGGTTGCTCAACTGCAGTTGCCATGTATGGTCTAATCTAATGTAGTTGCCATGATTTCATAACTTTAGGAGTTGCCACATACTAACACTAGGCAGTTGAGAGAGTTGCCATCTGCTCACAAGCATGCTAGGGCAGTTGCCATGTAAAAAGGAAGAGTTGACATCTGCTTACGTGCACGTTAGGGCAGTTGCCATGTACATGCACGTTAGGGCAGTTGCCATGTACCATACAAAAACATATGGCAACTCGGTAAAAGAGAGTTGTCATCTGCTTACGTGCACACTAGGCAGTTGCCGTGTACCCTGCAAAACACATGGCAAACTCGGGTAAAAAAAAAGAGTTGCCACCTGCTTATAAAAGCACACTAGGGGCAGTTGCCATGTGCAGTGCAAAAACACATGGCAACTAGCAGCTTGGGTGTGGGAGAGGAGAAGGGCGTGTGGGCAAGATGCCAAATGCCCACACAGTAGCCCTTGTGTGTGCGTGCAAAGTGACGTGTGGGCGAACTGCTGAACGCCACACACCAGCCCCTCTTGTGTGGTGAAACGGCCGTGTGGGCGACCGGCTGAACGCCCACACACCAGGCCAGTCCTACGTGGCACTAGAAACATGCCAAGATTCGTGCGTTCATGAACGGACGTGGATCCACACATGTGGGCGAGATGCAAACGCCCACACGTGTGGGCGTTAACATTTCTGCATTTTATTACTATGGGTATATATTTTAAGAGTATCCAGTAATTGTGATCTATGATCCTTATTGGCGTTGGTGTGAACGGATTCGGCTTGCCAGCTTCGTCCCTGTGCTCCTGTTCGTGCTCCCACTTAATCCTACGGCTGTCTTTTTTTTTTCTAATCTAATCATCTTTCTCTCCTCCTGATTTTAAGGGAATGGGACCGGATTTTATTTTATTCCATTCAAATCAAGCCACGTAGACAGGAGCACGGATGAACACACGACGGGAAACAGGCAAGTCTCGTCCGGTGTGAACCTCCTTGTACTGCACTGAGGTGATTGCAACCAAGTTAATTGTTCTGTACGTGGAGGTTACTTTCATGCGTATGTAGGCAACTTCTGAAAAAAGAAAGTATATATGGTATTTCTGCCTTGTTCCGTATCCGTACGATGTATGATCTGGTTGGCGGGTCGCACTTGTTGACGTTTTGTCTTTTTCATTTCTTTTCTTTTGCGGTTGTCACATGAATGCGCACACACGGTCACGTAGGTGTGTGTTATATATCGTTTGGCCGTTTGGTTTTATCCATATATACACCTGATCTGCTCCGTGACAGCACTTGCATTGCACGGTTCAGCCACCCGTTTAAGCAAGCATGAACTTGGGTTTTGCACGGCGTCGTTGGCCTGATCGATAATGGCTCGGACGCAGACACCACCCGCGACACAGCATCACCAACACGTTTGCCAAAAATGAAAAGGTTTGCCGAGTACCAGGACGTGTGGGTTGAACCGAGGTGCAATTGTGGCAAAGCAGCAACAGCAAGGTACGTACCATTAGCATACATCTTCTTCCTGAAGCTTAGAGACGGCAGCAAGTTCCAACTCATCTATACTCCCTAATAGAGCTAAACAGTCATGTGTGCATCAGGAGTAAGATCAAGTTTGTGCCGGCCAGCTCTAACACGCAAATGCCTAAACATGACAAGATACCACAAGGGCCATCATGCGTCCTTGGTTCACCTTGACGATCTACGACTAAGGGCCATCACGGAGCAGATCAATCTTCAGTTTTAGTTCTCAAACCAAAGAACGGTTTTAGTTTGACGATCTACAATCAATTCACCTGGACGATCTACGACTAAGTGCAGGAATTGATTGCACGGAGCCGATTCAGCCACCCGTTCATCTATTTTCAGTTTTAGTTCTCAAACCAAAGATTTATGTTTCTTACAACCAAATCTTCTTTAAACATATTGCAATCAATTACCGCGTCAAGGTATCATCTAGGAGTAGAGTGTGGGAGCCAATTTTCAGCTATATTAACAGTTACACGTGCCAATTTTCAGCTATATATGCAAGGAGATACTACCATTTTCCGATTTACAGCCATCAGATCAAACGGAAAACACCAAAACACCACACAGCTGGTTTCCATCCATAATTTAAACAAACATTTTGTCAATTGTCATCAGGATCCAAAACAAGTATAGCGTGTTTCTGAATCTACCATATTATTATTAAAGGTTTTAGCCAAAAAGGCCAAGAGAAACGACAGCAAAATAGCTACGGAATGCCGATTAAAGCTTTGCCCGGATCTGCTTATTAGAGAAGTCCTGGGAACTTGGTTCTCTTCTTTGCTACGGCTACAACAAAACAAGTAGGATGAACAACCACTCAGCAAAGTCAGGGTGATATCAACTCAGGGTTGTTTTTCCAGGACACAGCTGCCACAAAAAAATGTGGGGAAGAAAGAACTCGTAGTTCCAATCTCGGCAGTAGTTTCAGGTTCACCGCGCTGGGAAGCTTTGTCGTCGCATGATGGCTTCACATCTCTGCTCACATGGACGGCATTTCAAGCGCCTGAAGGACATCTTTGAACTCGAAATCATGTGTTTCCTTGTTGAAACGCTCCACGAGCTTGTACCGCACATCATTCAGGTAGAACGAGTGGGCGGTCTCTAAAAGACACTTTGCCTCTGCATCGGTTAGTTTGCTGGTGAAGACAACGTCTCCTCGGACAAGCACTGTATCCTTGGTTTCTGCAAACTCTGTGAAATGAGTGACTGTATAGTAAGGGCTTGCTTGAGTTCCTCTTGCTTTGTAATCTTCAAGCCCTGTGAAGATCATGTGCGGCAGCTGGACTGCAATGTTGAACGACAGAGAATAGAGCAGTTAGCTCAAAACAAAACAAACACTGTCAATTCCCACAGGTGGGTTTGAACAAATAAATGGCCATGCAGAAAACGGTGTTTCGACACCAGCCCCTTCATAAATTTCACCAAAATTTACCGAACTTTTAGTCTCTGCAGCCTCACTGCCTTGCATTTATGGACAAGATACTAGGCATAAATATTAAGGGTATCAGACATAGAGTTACAAGTAATATACTACCCCAGCACACCCAACATTTGGATGGGGTGTTCAAAATATAATTAGTTAGTTACTGATACATCTACGTGTAAATACATCAGTACTATAAGCTATTAACTGACAGGGCCTGAAGTTAGCGTGATGATACACCATGGATGCTTGGTTCATTTGTTATGTTCAAATATATTTCTCATGAACAGTAGTTTGTCGATGTTCATTTGGTATGAGTGTGAGTACATCTACCATTCTTGAGAGGCAAACTGGCTACAGGACACTACAAATTCATGACATTTGCTCCATCACACTCCAAATTTGCAACTTTGCTAAAGCATTCTAACATTGTGTCACCCGAACACACCACCAAATTGTAATAATATTGTTTGGCTTAAAAGGAGACAGAGCAGGCAAAGTCTGCTTTATTCTCATGAGTACGGCATCTTTGAACTTGTAAACACACTGATGCGTGTTTAGTGATCTAGAGATTCAATTATTTGTGATGCCATCTATTTGGCCAAAATATGAATCAGTTAATTTCTGCGTAAATATAGATTGTTGTGCATGTCTACTTTGTGCAGCTATTAATTTGTCAAAAGAAATTACAACAAAATGGCAAAACAGACTTTTCACGCGTTTTCCCACTCCCAAGTCAGATAATGTTGTTATAGTAGGTGGAGTGCGTGTTGGCAAATTGATGCAAGCTTAAAGTTTGTCTGGCAAGCTTTGAATTTATAGTACAATAGAGTAAATACCACGGATATAGAGTGTCATGTAGCAAATTTTGCCTTAGATATCAGGTTCAAACAGCCCCATCTAGAATAAACAGATTTGTTTTCCAAGGGTTATAATAACCCGTTTCATTTACTGATAATCAACAAAACATACAATTGGACACTTGAACAATAACATGCACAGGATATTAAGAATGTCAGACTGACCAAAGCCCATTGATATGAATATTCAAAAATATATGTTTAGTAAAGAACATACTTATAGACTGTAACAAAGTTCAATTTCAATGGAAATTTGTGAGAAGGAAAGCAGTCAACAAGGCTTGTGAAAATCGAATATCTGTGGTAGAGCCGAGAAATAACCTTGCATAAACATGGTGGTATATCCACTTCCTCTCCACAAAGGAATAACAAAATATGGACTACAAAAGAAGATAATTAGTTAAGAAAATAAATAGTTTAGAAATTAATCATGGTGATGGAATCAAAACTCCAGTCAACAAACAAATACCATGTAGCCGATCTTTGTTCCAAGAGACGGTAAAGCTTTGCTTTCATTGATACACCTATGTGACCTCTTCCCAGGTGGTACTAATGTTCCATGAAAAGAATAGTGACACAAAGAAATTGTACAGAAGTAATGTCAGGATGGACTCCAATGCAGTAAGCAATATGTGCAGATA